TCTCATTCCATCTGACTATAGGAAAATTTGCAATCACAGTGCTCCATCACCTTGGAATGGAGAAGGTTGGCATGGTTAACCACTGCACTCACTTCCCTGAGGGAGCTTTAGGTTGGGGTTGAACAGAGGCCTTACAAAGCTAGCCAGAGTCTTCGCTAACATTGGATTGCCTTCAGAATTTGAGTAAGGTTTCATTATATTACTCCTTCTAGGCTGGAATCCTGAGCTCCAGAGTACAAGACAGCAGAGAATGGAGTAATTCGAGAGAAACTCTAGAAACTCAGGCCAACCCTAAACCCTGCATGCACAGATTCAATGTGCTACGCGACCCGCTGTTTTGTGATTTTTTTAAAAAAATCTTTTGTTCAAGACAGCTTGTGTCAGGTTTCTTCCATTAATAATCAGAAAGCGTAGTTTGCATGATTTCTGGGTATATTTGAAATCACTATATTGTAGTCATACAATATTTTATTACATTAAAAAAAGGTACAGCATATGCCCTTGGTATAGGTCATTCTAACTGGTCTGGGTATAGGATTTGTATTAGGACTTCATCTCTACACCAAAACAATGGATACCCCAAGTGAGAAATATGTCCCGTTCATTCTTTTGTGTTTATGGAATATAGTGAGAATTCCATCCAGGTGCATTCCATCCAGGAGAATTCCATCCAGTCAGCACAATTAACAGCCCCGTCTCTGCAACTACTTGTCATTTCTTGGCTCTGGGTATCTTCAAAGTGCTTTCATCTAGTTCTTTACAAAATATGTAGTCAAGCTGGGCATGATGGCACACACCTTCAGTCCCAGCCTTCGGGAGGAAGAGGCATGCAGATCTCTGAGTTTGATGGCCTCCTGGTCTACAGAGTTAGTCCAAGAACAGCTACAGGGCTACACAGATAAATTCTTTTTTTAAAAAACCAAACCAAACCAAACAAACCCCTCAAACCCAAAGTACATAATCACCAGTTTCTTAGGTGTGCTAAATAGAACATTAGCCCTTGTTTATCTGACCTGCTTGTGTTTGGGTACTCGGAACTTGCTGCTTGATGTTCTCGCATGTACTGTTTAGCTCTTCTTCCTAGAGTCTAGCTAAGTTTCACTCCACTCATTAACACTGCGTGATCTTCTTTCACTTTCTTGTGTGGGAGAGAGCTCATCACCTGTCTTACTGCTTCTTGTTTATTTCATTTAACACAGTGGAGGATTGATTTTCCTTTTCCTCATCCTTGGCCCACATGCACACCTGGCCTGGTGATTGACACATGTTTAATAAATGCTTGCTGAATGGCTCAGCATCTGGCACTAGCTATTATATTTTGTTATTTTTTTATGGGATAGTTCTATGCATTCTGCCTTTTTTTTTCCCTCATTTCCCTTCCCTCATGTACAATTCCACTGACCTTTGGGAAACACATTATATTATTCACTAACACAGATTCTGCAGACTCAGAATTGTTCATTGTAATAAAATACACCATAGTCTGCAGAATAGAAAAACTATTTCCTAAAAACTGTCTGAAATTTCCTAAGCTCATTAACAATCATAAAACACTGTAACGTTCAATTTGAACTGTGCCCACAGCTCTGTAAAACTCACCAAAATGCGGTAAAAGCATATAGAATATTGAAACAGAACAACATAGTTGGGACTTTTATTTCCTGTCTCATCACTTTTCTTAGGAAGTAGCTTGGTTGGAAATGGTCAAATGTGAAATTATATCTTGGCCCAATGAATAAGGACTGCAGAACAAGAAGGGAACGGACAACACTTGCACAGAGTAGTCAGGAAATTCTGACTAAGCTAATTCTTCTTCTAAATGGAAATTCTGGCTATGGGGTCCATCACAGATATGATAACTTTCAATATGTTTTGCTAAACAGAATTCCAGCTCCCATTCCTGTAGCAGCAGATGGAATTCATGGAACACATAAAAGACTTTAGCTCACTCTGCTATCATCTGGTAATGTGTTGATCTAAAGGCTTCAAGATTCGTCTCCCCATCTCTAGCCCCACTTTTCCCTTCCCTCGTCTCAGATTCTTCCTTGAGTTTTCTTTTGTCGCCCACAAGGACAGTAAAGCCACAGTGACTGAGACCCCAGTTTGGTTTTGTGGGGAGAAAAGTTCATCCTGACGACGAGAACAAAAAGTGGGCTCCGTGTCAGGAGGTGATTCCTGGCTGTAGGATTTTCTCCTGTTCCAGATAGAATCCAGGCAGCCAAATGAGGCTTAATAAACAAAATCACTCTCTAAACTGTCATCTTGGAGGCTGATCATCAAGATCTATGGCCTGAACTGCTGGGTGAACTGTTGGTATGATCCAGGCAGCGAGAGGCTGACAACAGGGTCTGGACTACTCTAGGCAACAATTAAGAACAATTTATCTGGTTGTCTGAGCTGAAATGGCACATTTGGGCCATTCTCCACAGAAACTGTCCTCCTCAGCAATCTGTCTTGTGGTCTGGCATCCTCACTTGTACCTGATCTGCCCTATGAAAGTTCTGCCCATGCTTTGGCACCTCTGCAGAAGAGGGAGAGTCCGACACTAGCAAAGGGAGAGCATGGATCTTTCTTTGCTGGAGTAAGTGCCACCAGTGTCTCTTCAGAGACAAAATACCAGCCTCTTGCTATTAGAAGGCACATCAAACAAGAACCCAGCACGTTTCTTTCTCATATTATTTAGTCGCGAACCTGAGGCACTTTCAAAGCTTAAGTGGTCTGCATAATTGAGTCACAGTCCACATCATCATGGTCATGCTTCCTAAGCCTGCGACTGCAATGTGTCCCAAGAGGAAAGAAAATTTAGGGATCAAGAGATGCAGGAAATTGCTCTTTCTCTTGGTCTAATTTTATTAGAATAACTCTCTCTAATGTCGAATAAAAAGATTAACTCTGATCTTTATTAACATAAGTGAATGACTTTTATGAAAGTGTTTTATAAAATAAATCAAATCTAAGCTTGATGTTTCTTATCTTCCTCTTTTGTTTCACTCCCAGTAGTATCAAGTCATATATTGTATGTTTTGCTTATTTATTTTATTTCCAGTCTCTCTCTTAACTGTTAAAACATAAACTTCTTAAGGGCAGGAGATTACTAACCCCAAAGTGGAAGCTGCATGAATAGCCAATAAAGCAAAATAGAAGTCACGGTTATTCCTTGCTTTCTCCAGCTGTGACTTGTTCTAAAAGTTCACTATGGCCACAATCTAAATTTTTGAACAAGTCATTCGAATTATTACCATGTGTCTCTAGACACGGTGCTGAAGAGGACTTGATTCTAGAGATTTGCTTGCATGGCTTATTTTTGTTCAATTAGAATACGTACATGAGCAACATTTAGGTTTAGAATAAAGCAGGTATTACAGTGACTGAATTTAGGGCTTACAAGATATTATCTAGCTGGTTTTTCTTTTTTTTTTAAAAGAAGTACAAATAAGCAATAAAAATAAAACAAAACCACAACTCACAGTGGAAGTCCTGAGAGTGAAGGGTCAAATTTCCGGTTTGGGAATTTAATTTAACATCAGGAAGTTCAGGAAAGGCTTTGATGAACTGACACGTGCTACACACACACACACACACACACACACACACACACACACACACACACTCACAGTGACAGGGTAACACGAAGAGCTGTGAGGTCCATTAGACAAAACTCCTCTGGGGAATAGAGGATTCTAGCCAAATGACACAGCTCTAAAATGCTCCAATGCTGAGTATGTCACAGAGGTTGCTGGCGCAGCACATTCTGTGTGAAAGACCAGATGTTCCAGATGTTCTGGGGGACCCTGCTAATGTGGCTTTGTGTTTGATGTTGTGCCTTGGAGAACAATGACTGTGAAGCTCATGTGACTGCTGCTTTATAGGTATCTGGTATTGAAATTCCCCATGATCAGTCAGCACATACCCACACAACGAAGTAAGAACCAGCTGCAAAAGCCACACTCCATGTCAGCAGAAGTATCAACTGTGCCCAAAATCTAACCAAGTTTATGCCTGAATATGAAATGTCAGTATTTGGGAAGTAGAAGCAGGAAGATCACTTGAGTTGGATTCAGGCCAGCCCAGGCTACGCAAAGTGAGTTGCAGGACAGCTAGAGTTACATAGAGAGGCCCTGTCTTGTCTCAACAAACAAAATAAAGCAAGTCTTGTGAAATGTGAATAATCTGTAGTGTGTACTGTAGTGTGTAGTGTAGTGAGAGGTATGGGGGTTTGTCGGGAGGTTGTAAGCTTTACACAGGAACAAAGGAATGTGATGCTGCAGTGCTATGCTCTGAGTGTGGTTAGGGATGACTACAGTCGCATCGCTATCTTTGCATGTGAAGACGGTCAAAATCACATCAGTGCTCCTTCCCCATCACTATAGCTTTAGAAGCCCTCAGGGGGCATTGAAGAAGGCAAGCTAATTAGACAAACTTGGCTTCTGAGATGAGGCAGCGGTAAGAGAATACAAGGTCTGCTCTGACCTTGCCCGCACTTGCAACGTTGGGATATCTGTAATTCTGAATGCTGTCTCTATGACTGTGGGCAGATCATAGAGGCTGAGTGTATGAACTGTTCGGTTCTGTAATGTTATCAACCACAAATGTAATTGCTACAGATAAAACAGAAGCAAAAAAAAAAAACCCACAAAAAACAAAAAGAGAGATCGGAAAAAAGATTATGCATCTCAAATGAACCTTGAGAGATGACATCCACTGATAGTGCATCGCCTGAAAGCGTTCTCTCTTCTTCTCAGTGTTATCTATCATAGGCTGATATGGATTTTGCAGCGCTGCACTGTATTGCTCCGTGGAAGAAATGAGTAAGAAGTCAACATTACTCTCTCTTTTGTTTAACTGTAGGTAAGCATTGTCTTGCTGCCTTAGAACACTGAGAGTGTCCTAGAGAAGATGTATATCAGGCAAGGAACAAAGCCCAGCTCACCCTGTTAACTGTGATGAAAGAAGAGGACTTTCCCACCCAAAGGCATTGTGCTTGCAGTCCATGTACTTACATCCTGGTTGGACATTTCCCAATATGGTCTCTCTCCATAGGACATCACCTCCCACATGACGATGCCATAGCTCCAGGCATCACTTGCTGAAGAGAATTTTCTGTAGGCAATAGCTTCTGGGGCCGTCCACCGTATAGGGATTTTCCCACCCTGAAAAGAAATAGGGTATTTCTCAGTTGGCTCACAAGTATATTAAGACACAGGCATCCCGTTTAAATATCTCTTGTTTGCAATCCCTAAGCACTTGATAATAATGTTGGCACTTTAAATTAAAATAGAGAACTGGGGAATGTGAAAACATTAGAATCCTCCTCCCCCCCTTAATTGTTATTCAGGAAAAATAGCTTTAATGGGGGAAAAGTCTTACTTTGGAAAGATTTTATTTTATTCATTAGAGAAATTTATTTTTACTTTAGATTCACACAATTAAACACACTATTATGCCATTTGGAGAAAGTTCCAGATTATAGGACATTAAAAACTAAATATTATTCAACATTCATTAAGCACCACATTGCATTTATAAGTAATAATGAGTCTAAAGCTCAACTCTAATTGAAGACAAACGGTTAAATACGCTGAGCAGCCTTCCCAACTCCACATTTAGGAGAACATTATTTTGCTGCTTTTCCTCAGCTTTGATAACGTTATTTCATAAATAATCTTTACCACGATACAAGAGCAGAGGACGTAGGAAAACTTTTATTTTTTCACACGTGAGAGTACATTGCATTTTTTTCCTTCATCGCTCAAGTTTACATCTGAACATCATAAAGGGATTAAATTGCACACATTTATACCGTTTAAATGCTAACGTCTGTCATTGTGTCATATTTAACTTTTATTAACATTTATCACATATTATCTGTTGAAACACTCTGTAAATCCCCCTTTACTGTGGTGACAAGAATAAAACAATTCATCCATTTGATTTATAGCAATATTTTAAAATCTCAGCTCCGAACTACCACGTTGAGGCAGCTGTGTGTGACCATGTTGCCACTAGATGGCGGTAGAGAACCAGAAGCTGTCTGGCTCAAACCCGGGCGATGGCTTCAGTTCCCAGCAAAATTATTTCCATCAGTCAGAACCCGCCACGGTGGGATTGTTTCAACATCCTCAGCACTTTCATGCGCACAGCATCTGAGCTCGCGATCTGCAGGAAATCTGTGTTAAGGGGACTGTGGGGGAGGAGCGGAGGAAAAAACAATCTGTGTACTTTCTTTCACCCTTGATGAATTTAGGGTTGGCAAACATATCTTTTAGAGGTGAAATTTCTAAGTACTATAATCTTTAATTATTTAACAATCGAAGCACTATAAACTTCAAGAGAAAAAGGATTAATTTGAAATAGAAACAATTTAGACTTCATAAGGTAAATGGGAGAATTAGTGAAACCCTCATTTCAGAGAAGCCCGGAGAGGAATTGTTAGGACCCTTGGGAAAAACACTTTGAATCCAATCCTCTGTTTTTTTCAAGTGAGTGAGCAGCCTAGTGTTCAGAGAGGAACAACTGATACCCGTAGTATCTGAAGTCTACTAGTGCAATCGTACAGACAACATGGTAGAATGTTGCCAGAGAGGCATAAATACTTCAGCTGGAGTGTTGGGTACATAACTAATTTTAATATTTAATATGATATATTGAAGTAGCTTAGACAGGAGCCCAACGTCTGGGCTTCTGTGCTTTAGGGCAGAGTTCTCTTAAAAGTCATCGAATAAAGACCAGGAAATCATATTTATGAAGTTAGTGAAAGCAATCTAACTGGGTGTGGATGTGGGGGCAGGAGGGAGGGAGTCATTCTTATTTTCTCTTTTTTTTGTGTGTGTATGTATGTGTGTTTTCTGTGTGTACCATGTGTGTGATGGTGATTTGTTGTAATAGGAGTGGTGGGGCTGTGTCCCCAGCACCCCGGCCACCTGCTAGCTTATGCCCTGAAATAATTACACGGAAACTGTATTCTTTTAAAAACTGCTTGGCCCATTAGCTCTAGCCCTTACTGGCTAATTCTGACATCCTGATCAACCCATCTCTAATAAACTGTGTAGCACCTGTCTTACCGTGAAAAATTCAGCATGTCTGACCTGGCGGCTTGCTTCATTGTGTCTGCCCGGGGAGCATGGCCTCTGAGCTCACTTCCTCTTCCTCCCAGCATTCTGTTCTGTTTACTCCTCCTACCTATGTTTTAACCTATGAGGCCAAGCAGTTTCTTTATTACTTAACCAATGACCTTCCTCCATCAGTGATTGCTGAAGCCACCTGAGGCTTTCCTGTACCTGATAGCTGGAGTTACAGATGGCTGTGAGTGGCCAGAAATGGATGCTGTAAATTGAACTTTGGTCCTCTGGCAGAGCAGCAAACATTCTTAACTGATGAACCCCCCTCTCTCTCTCTCTTTACACACACACACACACACACACACACACACACACACACACACTTCATACCCCTAAAAGCTTCAATCTTTAACGTAAGTTTGCCAGAAAAACAACCAACCATACAATAAACCCCACAGAACCCACAGTTAAATTGGAATTCTAGGTAAATAGCAAATAATATTTTTACAGTATATATACTCCATGAAGTATATATACTCATACTTTTTTTAAAAATTATGTCCTAACTATCAAGACTGACACTTATCATATACGAATAAATTAATCACCCTTCTTCAACTATAATTGAAATATAGATTATATATTTTGATTTGCTACATGGGGCAAACCATAGTTAAATGCACTAAAAATAAGATGTTGTAAATGCTGTCATTGAACAGGTGATGCCCCAAGGAAGCCTGTGCCACCTATGTGTCTCTGCCTTTGATAAGTCCAAATGTATTCTATGTGGTAGTGCAAAGCAGCAGCTAATGATGGCGACTTTATTAATCTATTGACTCACAAATGCTATCCTTATTCAAAGGATTCACAGAAGCTATACGTTGCATTCCAAACAACCTTCACGTGTAAATATGGCTTCTATCTTTTTTGAGATTTTCTTCTCTTCCCAAAGGGAAGATATTTAAAAAAAATTGACAAGCTTCATTGCTACCTGTTGTGAAGCGCATTTACTCCAAATTCGCGAGCTGAAGCCCCAGCTCACAGGGTGACTGTCTTAAATGTCTTTTAAAGTAAAGGTAATTCAGGTTAAATCAAGTCATAAGGGCGTAGCCCAGGATGACTGGTGTCCCCATAGGAGTATGAAGAGATAGCAAAGAATCTGCAGGCACAGAGGGAAGGCCATGTGAGGACACCCTCTGGAAGCAGCCAGCTGTCTGTGAGCCAGAGAAGCTTCCAGAAGAATTGCTGACACCTTGTTATTGGACTCAAGAATTACAAAGGAAAAATTTCTGGTGTTTAGGACACCCAATTGGTGGTGTTTTCTCATGGCAACGCCCGAAGACTATTATACTACCCCAATTAAAAAAAAAAAGAACCTCATTCAATACTTGTTCAAATGAATACCATCACAAAACGAACAGCTCATCTTTATTTGAAATTCTTTGCCCAGTGTTGTCTGGAAATGGAAAGTGTGAGCCAGAATAATCCTAAAATAAAACGTGAAAAAAATGGGACAGACATTTAATGTAGAAAATATAATTTTAAGAAAGAAAATGCATGAATCTAATAGTGGGTGGAAAGTGGAAACTGGGATGCTTCTGAGCGCACATGTGATAGAGATAAGGAAACAGTCAAAACATATTTTTTTTCCTGATGATGAATGCTAAATATAGATTATTTCTAGTTGTAAGATTAGGCAAAAAGGAAGAGACACTTAAGCCCAAGGCATGGCTTCTATTTCCTGCATAAAAGAAAGTAGAATTCATAAAAGAAAAAAGAAATACAATTCATGAGTATTGCATATGCGTGTGCATGCTTGTGTGTGTGTGCGCCAGGGTGCACATGTGCCATAGCACATGTATGGAGCACCCATGTGGAGGTCAGAGAACAGCCTCAGGTATCAGCTCTTGCCTTCTAAGGAGTTAAAGGCAGGTTCTCTTTATTGTTGGTGATGCACAGCCAGTTTACTGGCCCCAAGCTTCTGAGGTTGCTCCTCTCCCCATCTCCCATCTCATTGTAGGTGTGCTTGGCTCACAGATCCCTGCTGCCTTACTCAGCTTTATGTGCACCCTGGGAGTTGGAACTCAGGTCCTCTGAGTTCCACGGAGCCACCTCCTTGGCTCCCCTCCCTTTAATAGAAAGGACTAACTTAAGCTGTGGCTTAATCTCATCTACATATTTTCACCCTTGAGCGCTTAGGTGCTTTTTGTCTTCTTCTATTTCTTTCTGTTATTTCTGGAAGCTCTAACCACCAGATGCTTGCTTCAGGTTCCAGGAATGAACAAATAGTATAATTCTTTAGATTTGAAACCACAATCATGTCTCGTTGTTTCACCATATGTTAGAAGAAAAGATGCTAATCAAAGGGACTAACTGGGATTCTGAAGCGCTTTCATTAGTAATTCCTCTCTTACATAGCAGCAAGCTTAATCGCTAGGGAACAAAGGAAGAACAGGAAGTCAGAGATGTATATGCTACTGAAACTTGGGCTTAGCAAAGCTTTTACTCTGTTTTCCAAATTATATTCAAAGCTTGTTACCTACCAAATAGGTAGTGGGTTGCAGATATAAAAGTACTGAAAACAGAATGAGGAACTCTGCATACTTGTATATCCCTGCTTACCCAGCACCCCATAATGCAGCTGTGTTTCACACGTAAATATTAGAATGTAATCGCATTGTCTCTAATGAACAGGCCTGTCAATAGATACGTAGTAAAATTAAGAAGATTTCACTTTAATTAATACTAAAATCTAACAAAAGAAATGATCCAGAGAAAGTAAAGATATTTGAAAATTTCTCTATTTCTCATTCTCTGGATTTGATGTTTAGCCCAAAGAAAAAGAATGGACAATAAGCTCTTTGGAGGTTTTTCTTTTCTTATAGAGCCTATTTTATGAAGCCCTAAAACTTTAAAAGATAAGAGTTATGGAATAAACAAACACCCAGTAAATATATAGAAATATTTTTAGCATCCTAAGCTGTGAGGAAAAGGCTAATCAAAATTACAAGGAGGTTCTATCTCATCTCAGTCAGAAAGGCTATTATCAAGAAACCAAGCAACAAATGCTAGGCAAGCTGGGAGAGATAGGA